AAGAACCAAGGACCTATGAACTACAAACTCATATACTAGACTTGAAGACCCAACTTTTGAATCACGCACAATATCGACGGCAGGGAACCCAGACAAGGGCAAGACTATCTAGATTCTTTATTGAAGGAGCGATGAACTCTCACTTCTTCAGCCTAGCTAGAGCACGTTTCACAAGGACCACGATCGAGGCACTCTACGAGCCGAAAGCCAGAGAATCGGCCTCTGTCGTGACCACGACTCGATGCACTAAGATAACATGCGATTTTTATAAAGACCTCTTTTGCTCGCATGTGGATAAGTCGGATGCGCTATACCACAATCGTGAATTAAAAAAAAAAAATGGAACCGGTAAAATAACAAAACACTGACATCTGAGCAGCGCGAATCCCTAGAGGCCGCACTCTCTAAACAGGAGATATGGACTGCCCTCCTTCACATGAAGGAGGAGAAGGCACCTGGGATTGATGGTTTCCTTAAGGAATTTTGAAAAATCACATGAGATTTTTTGAGTCAGGACATCATGGTCTTCTACGAAGAAGTATGGCTCACAAGTGAGATGGGAGAAAGGGTAGAGCAAGGGATACTGACCCTCCTATATAAAAAAAAAAAGGAACAAAATGAATATTAGAAATTATCGTTCAATCACACTTCTCACAGTAGTATACAAAATGTTTTCTAAAGCCTTAGCTAACAGAATGATCCCGGCAATGGAAAACATCATCCATCCCTCACAAACGGGCTTCATGGAGAATAGGAATATACAAGAGAACATTTTGTTAATCGATGAGGAACTCCAACTTACGAGACACTCCCGTCAAAACGCAGCTTTGGTTTTCATCGATTTTGAAAAGGCCAACGACCATGTGGACTGGCTGTTCATGGCAGAGGCCACACACCGCAACATGAAGGAAATTCAACAAATGATGGAAAAATTTGCCAAGGTTTTCAGCATGACAGTCAACTGGAGGAGCAAAACACAAGGATGGTAGGGGACGCCCCCCAGAGTCACCATGTATTACATGGATGTCATTAGAGACCCTAGTAAGAATCCTAGGGGTATCCATGACCACAGAGGGACGCCCACCAACCAATGACGAATGGATCAATGCCCCGACTCAGCAAAAACTAAAGAATTGAAGAAACAAGCACACATCCCTGTTTGGTCGCGCTCTAGTAATTAACAATGTAATTTTTGCAACAGTATGGTACAAGTCGTTACTGTGGCCATTGAGCAAAGCGACCCTGAGGAGCCTAAGGAAAAAGGCAGCGATCTTCCTATGGAGGGGGAACGGTGGGCAGAGCAACGTAATAAGTCGAGTGGCGTGGGATTCAATTATCCAGTCTAAGGCGGGGGAGACCTAAGAATAATTGACCCAACGACGCAGATGGAAGCATTACGGTTAAAATGGATTAAAAGGCTCATCTTCGTCCCCCAGTGTTCGTGGTGCGTACTAACTCAGGAACATCTGGCCCGGCTGACCCCGGAAACCCCCCAACCGATCCACCCGCTGACATGCCTAGAGGACCGTTTCTGGACGATTCCACGTAAGTTCCTCTAAGGAAGGGAGAGGCTGGATGGCGGTGGCCAGGTGATGGACAACTTCTGGCTATCTCTGTTGGAAACCTGGCGTAGAGTTCCGCTCTTAGCCAGGACTCACCCCAACCGTTAGGAGGAAGTCTACCGACAACCTCTCTTTGGAAATCGATGGGTGACAGACTTGAGTGGCTGCGTCATGTCAAGCTCATCCCTGCTCTGAAAAAGTTGGGTTAAACGAGGGGTGCTCAGGGTTGGGGATCTTTGGGACAATGACAGACAGGACTGGATAACGGGAGACCAGTTGCAAGGAATCCTACGGTATTGCCACCACGTAGAGGAGCTTTTGGATAACCTAATTGAAGCCATCCCACTGGCGTGGTACCGAATTTTTAAACGAGGCCCCACTTTGAGAGCAGGCGATTGGGTAGCAAGTACGGAGACCCCGCTGAGGATGGGCCAGGTACATATGGTCTCACCCCAAACAGTCCTGGTCGAACACTACACTATCACCAGAGCAGACACCCTCCATGGAAATAGAGGCCCCTTCGAATGGAAAGAGAAAGCGTATGTGTATCGAGTGAGAGTTATAGAAGAGAAGGGACAGAGGGTGGTGTTCCAACCATTAAAACCAATCCAGGATCTGGCTCTGGACCCAACAGAATGAACATGGAAGGCCCCCCAGAAGAGGGGAGGCCCCAAAACTGGTCACATCAGCCTGCACCAGCTGTCGGTCAAATCAGCCTACAAAATGTTCAGATCTAAAAGGCGTCCGAGAGACATAGTTAACGACCGATGGGCCAGACACCAAAATGTGGACAGCTCCCTCCTGTCACCGATTCAATGGTTTAAGGAACAAAAATCTAAACCCATGAAAATCACCTCCCTACAGTGGCAAATTGCCTAGCGTTGTTTGCCAACCAACGACTGGCTGGCTGACTGCACTAATTTAGAACAAAGAGGTCTGCTACTTTTGTGGTGCCAGCGGTGCCAGAGTCTTTTCCCTTTCCATAAGAAGGCGAAGACCATCGAACATATTTTCATTCAATGTTCGATCGCCCAATTCATATGGAGATGGTGGGACCACATATGGAGGAAAATGAAATCTGCAATCCCCTGGCCCTGGTCCTGGCAAACCATATTGGCAGGCCACTGGCCGCTGGCAGGAGCAGCCACGACCTTCGTAGACAATATGTACAGACTTGGAAGGAGGACGGTGATATGGGCACTTTGGTGGCAGAGATGCACCCTGGCCATAGAGAAGGTGAAAGTAGAAGGGCCAAAGATCACAGAACAGATTCAGCAGCAGGTGCATTTTGAACTCACACAAAGATGGTTGGACACAAAAGCACATTTAGACCTCTTTAGACAAATCGGAGATGTTAGGGGACGGATTACAGCATTTTGCACAGATTGGGTAGGAGGGGAGGGAGAAGGATGGGTTGCAAAACTGGAATGGAGTGGAGGCAGGGGAGAGGGACAGCGGGATTTGGAAGATATGAGAGACTACCGTCTAATTTTCAAAGACTGGACAAACATAGAACCCTCGTTCCCGCTACGCCCTCCCTTGGACTTTCTAGAGCAGTTCCCACCTCATGCCCTTTCCCTGGCAGAGATTCTGTCCTGGATAATAAAATACTTAGCCCAGTCTCCTTTACACTCACATGCATCTGAATACACATACATATACATAATTTATATGCTCACATATGGAACTCCTCCCTGGAGCCCCCTGGGGAGAATTCCGCTAACATACATATCTTTTTACATATGTGTTTCCTTTTTGCTGCTCAGTTAACCCCCCTTTCTTTTGATTGGGGTGGTCAATGCTGGCAGTCTGAGTACTCTAAGCAATCTGTGCCTTTCGTGTATAATGGGACGCTGGACCCGGTTTCCAGCAGGTGCAGCTCCCCACCATTAGATGGAGCAGCCGGAGGCTACTACTAGCGGGGGATGCTCGTATCACCCCCTCTAGTAGACAGCTAAAAAGGCAGACCCCTGCCTGTCTTCCAAGGTATCGCGGGCAGACCCCCCAGTCCCCCAGGCGTGTTCTTAGCCAGACAGATTTATCCTAATATTATTGCAGATGTCATTTTTTTTTTAGGATTGGAGCCCATGATTTGTTATATTTAAAAAGAAAACTGATCTATATTCTTCTCTCAATCTCTACATATATTTTCCTCATCTATCTCATCCTCTCACTACTGAATGTATATTACAGGGAAACTCCAACCAACCTGGATCCCTCCCCAGCCCAGGGGGGGTAGGTTTGCACCACAGGGGTGGTGCAAGAGCAAGGCTGTACCAGTGCCTCATCACTGGTGATGTGGTGTGGGCAGGTGTTGCCGATGGGGGACGCCGGCGCGGTGCTAGTGGCGAGCACTACGCAGCCCGCTCCCCCCGCCCTTGTCCCGCCCGGCCCCCCAACCCCACATTAGAGGTGTCTAATAGCCAACAATTGTTGCATGGCACGCAACAATATTGGCCAAGGCCAAGGTCCTGCCAACGCTGGCCTCGGGGGCCAACGGGCTATCTCTGGAGGGTGGGACGCCAAGCATGCCCAGGCACGTATCTTTTTTTTTTTCAGGCACGTATCTGAGGTCAAAGGGGATTGAACCCACGTGCAACTTGTGTGTCTCACCAGCTGAGCTACGCGTGGCAGATTTCGGCTGCGCTCCTCGCGCCGCGCCCCAATTCGAAAATGAACTGGCGCGCGTTTTTTCTGCTCGTTTTGGCGCCGCCGGCGAAAGAGGTCCGCGCCAACGGGGTCCGTCCGCGGAAGGGCCAAGGGAAGCGAGGTAGCGGAACACGTTGAGAACAAGTGCGCTCGCGGGGCAAGCGGATGCAGTCGGAAGAGTTTGTGCGCTCGGCTCTGCACAAGGGAGCAGAGATATGGGGGTGGCGGGGTGGAGAAAGGAGAGATCGGGGAGCACAATTTTAAAATGTATCTGACCGTAAGTATGCCCCTAATTGGATGCATCTGACGGTAATTACGTCCAGGAATAAGTAAAGAACTCCTACCTAGTGTGAGTATGCCCTAAGATGGATATGGCGGTAAAATCGGGAAGTGAATGTGTTGCAGCGACATGCATAGGGCATGGCTGGATCGTTCGAAATCTGGGGGATTTCTGGGGCGTCGATCACGGTGGATCTTACGATCGAAAAATAAGCGGGAAGAGAAAGGAATGTACGGTCGAATTGCATGTACGGTCGAATTGGAGTCATTTAGCGTGTTAAGGGGAGGGACCCTCGAGGCACACAGAAAGGGGTAGCATACCTTTCTCGGCCTTTTCTGCTCTGATCAGTCTAATATCTGATCCTTGGGGGGGCCTGGGGGGGGGGGGGGTGTTGAAAGTGTGTGTGTGTGTGGGGGGGGTGGGGTAGCGTATCTTTGGCGTCGCGTTTGATAGGATGCAGGTACACGTGGAGAATAGACATTAGATTGAAACTGGATAAGTCTGGGTATTGTGGAGATGTTCTCCTTTTTTTTTTCTTTTTTTTTTTTGGGGTATTTTAGATTCGAATTGAATAGGGTAGGCTAGGGGTTCTTGCTGTTAATTAGTTATGGCATCTTCCCACGGGACCACGGTAAACCGCTTGGGATCTGTCGTGGGGGATGAATCCGATGTGCAAGCAGGACTCGTTTGCTGTCCTTTCATGAGCGGTTCGGGTCCTGGAAAGCTCAACGCGGACTCGAGTGCACGGAAGGAGGAGGTCCGCGGAGTGATCATGCTGCAGCAGCAGCAGCAGCGGGTTCCTGCTGCCGCCCACGATCCCAGCGTCCATGGCGCTCTCTATGATCCCCGCGGGTGGGAGTGGAGTGATGAGGAAGGTCCGCAGGAGGTAGATCTGTCGCGCAAGCAGCAGCGGGTTCCCGGTGTCTTCGCTAAGGATCCCGGCGCTCTTCGTGACACTGTCTATGGTCCCGATCCCGATGGGTACACGCGGAGCGATGAGGAAGGTCCGCAGGAGGGAGGAGATCCGTCGCGCAAGCAGCAGCAGCAGGTTCCGGGTGTCTTCGGCAAGGATCCCGGCGCTCTTCGTGACACTGTCGATGGTCCCGATCCCGATGGGTGCACGTGGAGCGATGAGGAAGGCCCGCAGGAGGGAGGTCCGTCGCGCAAGCAGCAGCAGCAGCAGGTTCCGGGTGTCTTCGCCAAGGATCCCGGCGCTCTTCGTGACACTGTCTATGGTCCCGATCCCGATGGGTGCACGTGGAGCGATGAGGAAGGTCCGCAGGAGGGAGGTCCGTCGCGCAAGCAGCAGCAGCAGGTTCCGGGTGTCTTCGCCAAGGATCCCGGCGCTCTTCGTGACACTGTCTATGGTCCCGATCCTGATGGGTGCACGTGGAGTGATGAGGAAGGACCGCAGGGGGGGCAGACAGATCTGTCCCACAAGCGCCGTACTTGGAAATTTTTGATGGAGGGGCAGACAGAACCTCCTCCTCCCAAACCAAGGGGGGAAGAAAGTCTGCGGCCGATCTCTGACCACCAGGCCTGGCGCGAGTACGAGACCGTCTTCACCAATGCCAAAGCAGGAATGGATGGGGTAGATAAGCAAAAGCTGCAGCAAGTGGTCTATGAGATGAGCAAAGGATCTCGATTCTTCGTCAATGAGCAGCGAAAGGAGGCAACGATTCTGCAGCGAATTGAAGGGATGAAAGAACGAGCGGCTGAGATCTCGCCGGAGGCCAGGGGCAAGTTTCAGGCGATGGCGGATCGACGGTTGCTGGAGCTGGAGGCGTCACGTGACCTGTCACGTGTCTGGATGCACGTGGACATGGACGCTTTCTACGCTGCAGTGGAAGCCCTTGATGACCCGTCCCTGCGGACTAAACCCATGGCAGTTGGCGGCACGTCAATGATCTGCACTGCAAATTACGAGGCCCGCAAGTATGGCGTCCGTGCAGCCATGCCTGGCTTCATTGCGCGCAAATTGTGCCCCCATTTGGTGTTTGTAAAGCCGGATTTTGACAAGTACACTCGCATGAGTGAGCTTACACGTCAAGTGTTCAGGGGGTACGACCAACACTTCCTGCCTCGAAGCCTCGATGAGGCGTACTTGGATATCACAGCTTGCTGCAAGCAGCGGGGCATGTCTGCAAGTCAGATCGCAGAAGAGATCCGTGCGCGTGTCTACGAGGTCACCCAGCTCACCTGCAGTGCTGGCATTGGTCCAAATCGACTAATTGCCAAGATTTGTTCTGACATCAACAAACCGAATGGGCAGTACCTTGTTCCCAACGATCGCAGCGCCGTCCTGTCCTTCATCTCGTCGTTGTCGATCCGCAAGGTCTCCGGGATAGGCAAGGTTTCAGAGAAGACATTGAAGGGGGTTCTTTCCGTCACCACTTGCCAGGAACTGCTGGACCATCGGGCCATGCTTTTTGCTCTGTACTCGAGGATCTCTGCAGACTTTTTTTTGGCAGTTGGCTTGGGAATTGGTGGATCCGAGCACCCGAAGGAGGAGCTCAGGAAGGGCATCAGCAATGAACGGACTTTTGCTCCGATAAGCGCAGAATGCCAGCTCATCATGAAGCTGGAGGAGTTGGCGGGCATGTTGGAATCGGATATGGCGACCGAGGAACTCCACGGCCGCACTTTGACTCTGAAGCTGAAGACAGTGGACTTCGAGGTCAGAACCAGGTCGGTGACGCTGACCACGTACATCTGCACAAAAGAGGAGATGATGCCCCATGCAGTGAAACTGCTTAAGGCAGAGCTGCCTATCTCAGTCCGTCTCATGGGGCTGCGTCTGTCCAACTTCAAGGAGGCCAGGGTCCAAGTATCTGACAGATCGCAGAGAACCATGTCTGAGTTTCTGTCAAGGCAGCAAGAGAACTCGGAGAAGCAGCAGCAGCAGCAGCAGTTTTTATCGCATGCCCACGGCATACCTCAGGCTACTGTGCAAATTTACCGAAGGCCGCTTGACGGCCGCCCTTTAGATGTTGTTGGTGTTGGCGATGGGAGAGCACCACCGGAAGAACAAGTGGCCCGGCAAAGTGGATGTCGTGACTTGGCTGCAGTAGCAGCGGACCGTCAGATGGGCGGCGTAGAAGGCAAAAGTGGCATGCAGTTGTTGCCAGTCACGGAGGAGTTTCCCTGGGATGTAATCTCAGCAGCAGATGTACAGTCGACGTCAGGCGTCAGCAAGGAACAAATGCATGTACGACAAGTTGGTGGGCAATTGACACGACCATGCACCGATGACCGAGTCTGTAGTAGTACCTCGTCGGGAGTTATTTGTGACGCTTCTAGTGTCCGATCGGGTTCGTATTGTGTTCCATCTTGTCCAGTTGATGTACAAACAGGTGATAAAAAAAACACAACTTTGGCGGCCAAGAAGAAGCTGGGTGCAGCAAATGTTGCAGGTGGTCAGAATAAGAAGGAGGAGGGAAAATGCGACAGTCACACCGGTCAAAGGAGCCCGATGCAAGCTGACGCTTCCCCTATCGAAGAAGAGTTCCCTCCGGGAGGTACAGATGAACAGTCTTGGGCTTGCAAAAGGTGTACTCTTGTCAATGGAAGCGAGCAGGGTAGTTGCGAAGTTTGCAGGACACCTAAGCCAGACGTCGTAGTGAAAAGCGGTGGAAAGAGGCCATCATCATCGTCATTATCCTCGTTGCATACTGGCAACAGAGGACATTCTTTGCGAGCACAGAAGACTCTGAGTTCATTTCTTATGCCGTTGTCGGGTCAGTCTGCGGAGACTGCATCCCCACCTGCGCCTTCGCCAAGGATGCGGCGAAATGGGCCCTCCTGTTTTCCTGTTGGCATGCATCCACTGCAACACAGTGATGCTTCCCCCGATGCGTCTGTGAACGATCGGGGACTAGGAGGCATTACGGCCCATGCTGTGGCAGTGGAAAGGAGGAGGCTCCAGGATGGGCACTTGATGACAACAACAGACATGGAACAGAATAGCTGCGACCGCACACCCGGAGTTGTTGGTGGGATGAGAACATTGAGTAGACAATATTTGCCACAAGTGGAAGCAGAAGAGACCGTAAAGCCGGTTGTTCGGAGTGGAGGGAAAGCAGCAGTTGAAGCATGCTCTGAAACGAAGGCGGCGTCAAGGGACGCAGGTCCAAACAGAGTTCATAACGAAGCTGCTGGTGAGTCCTATGATGTTAGAGATCCCGAACGGGGGGAGGAGAGGAGATGGAGCGGTGATTTGGCTACAGGATTCGAGAGGCTTGATATGGATGCTGGAGTAGCGATAGGAGGGGAGGAGTCTTTCGGGGGTGAGGCAGTGCAGAGCGATGAGTTCTTGTTGTGCAACAAAGACAGAGCGTCTCGTTCATTTACCACCGTGGACTTAGCGTCTAAAGAACCAAATCCCAGTAGAAGTAGGGTTCCGGCAAAGGGTGGAGGGGTGGAGCGGGGAGGGAGGGAGGGAAGTGAGGAGCCAGGTGTGGAGGGGGTAACTGGTTCTCAGGAGATGGAATGCAGGAAGGCTTGCATTGCAGTAGCAGCAGAGGCTAGCGGTGAGGGTGCATCAGCCGTCGTCCAGCATGAAGAGGACAATAGCTGGGTCTGTGAAATCTGTGGGGCAACAGTTTTCGGGGGGCAGCGGGCAAGGGAGGAGCATGAAGATTACCATCTTGCTCTGGAGTTGGATAAGCAAGAGAAAGAGAGCACAAGAGGGCTTCATGAAAGGCCACAATGGCCAGTTCGAGACAGTGCTACGAAGCGAAGGGCGGCGGGTTCTGGTGCGCAAGGACAGCAGAAGGGAGCAGACATGGTGCTTAAAAAAAGGCAGAGGAAGCAAGGAACACATGGAGCACAGCCCACAAAAAAAGAGGAGAAGCAGGTGAAACCCTCTGGAGGCCCAATTGATGCATTTCTTTGTATAGTGAAGAAATGATCGTCCTTTCACATGCTGACGAAGAAGGCCTTGGCAGAAAAATGCAGGAAGGCATCCAGGCAGGAAGCAGTGGTTCAAGTAGGGAGGCTGGCAAGGGACAGAAGGGCGGATGCAATTGATGACCTTGAATGTGGGCAATGCACACTCATTTGTACAGATGCACCCCCAAATTGGGGAAGGGTGGGGGAACACACACACACACACACACACACACACACACACACACACACA